CCTGGGATTAGTGGGACGAGAGAAATGGGCTTCTCTTGACTACTCCTTGGGGACATACTTGATCCATCTTTATCACCCAACCCCATGAGAATAACAGCCTTATGTTCTGTGCAAAAGTTTCAGGGTTCAAACCCTGCCAATGATGAGTAACAGTTACTGTTACATATAATGTATTTTTGGTACATTTACTATTTTCTGGAATTATTTTTCTGAACTTGAATTATGATGCAATCTCTAATTATATGATCACATACTATTTTTTCCAACGATTTGTAGATTGTTTCATTTACTCTAGAAGTTGGAAGATGTGTACTGGCTCTAGTTCTTGTGGTTAAAGCAGGTCTCTGTCACAGGAGACCTCAGGTCTATGTATGACACTGACCAAGACATTTAGATTAAATTTTTCAAAAACATGTAAATCTCATTTTCAAAAGAGGATCTGAAATATCGAGGCTGGTTTTGAAAACGGGTCCTAGACCCCTAAAAATCATAGCCTCTTCTGAAAATTTATCAAAATATTATCAGGTAGCCAATTAACTGTGTTCTCATTTTCTCTGTGCCCCACTTAACACACCTGGGGAAGTAGAAGTGTGGACGACTCAGAAGTGCAGCTATACATTCTCCATGCTTCTGTGCGTGGAGCATGGCAGAATGTTCACAGAATGTCATGTGCCTCTGCCACTGACTTAGGAGATTGGGTCAGGCAAGTGTGTCTGTAATTCCCCAACTGTAAAACAGGGACAATACCACTCTGCTCTCTTAGGGTACATCTAGACTACATGCCTCTGTCACCAGAGGCATGTAGATTAGGCTACCAGACATAGGAAAATGAAGCGGCGATTTAAATAATCGCCGCTTCATTTAAATTTACATGGCTGCCGCGCTAAGCCGACAAACAGCTGATCAGCTGTTTGTCAGCTCAGCGCGATAGTCTGGACGCGCGGGTGTCAACATCAAAGGTATTTGTCGACCACCCAGGTAAACCTCATCCCAGGAGGATTACCTGGGTGGTCGACAAACACCTTTGATGTTGACACCCGCGCGTCCAGACTATCGCGCTGAGCTGACAAACAGCTGATCAGCTGTTTGTCGGCTTAGCGCGGCAGCCATGTGAAGCGGCGATTATTTAAATCACCGCTTCATTTTACTATGTCTGGTAGCCTAATCTACATGTCTCTGGCAACAGAGGCATGTAGTCTAGACGTACCCTTAGTCTGGAGAAATCCATTCATGTTTGTGAGTTCCATAGAGCCTACAGTGATTAGCAGTCTGAGAGAGACAGTGAGGGATAAGTGATCTTGCATTGTGTATGTCCAGTAAAGTAAGGCAGGTACCACCAATGAATGAATGAGGATAAAAATTATAGTATTCCTGAGTATTATCCATTCTGTACACTGAAGGAGGCAGGGCCCCAGTTGAAAAATAAGTATGTGATTGTGTAATAAAAGGCTAGCATAATGCATACCCACCAGAGCCAGAATGAAACCATAATGTTGGCATTTCTTGGCTTTTGAATGTTTGACCATATGTTTTTAAGGAAATATATATTATAAAGGATTATATATTAGGATTATAGCTTCGTGTAAATTCTCACTCTTGTGTAAGTTATCTTTAAATGAGCAGGTTTGTGCATTTTTCTCTTTATTCTCTCATTAAAACATACACCAGCTTATGACTAAAGTTAGTATTTCACTTTATTCCAATTACTATAAATTATAAGAAAGTAGATTAGACACACAACATAAAAACGGAATACATTGACACACAGTTTCTCTTGCAGGCTGTGAGGTCACTGAAAGAGACAATCGAAGACTGTTGGGACCAAGATGCTGAAGCTCGACTGACAGCCCAGTGTGCTGAGGAGAGAATGGCTGAACTCATGATGATTTGGGAAAGGAACAAATCAGTCAGCCCAACAGTCAACCCTATGTCTACTGCCATGCAGAATGAACGGTAAGAAGCAAAGTAGTTTGTATACAGGTGATCCTGGGAGTGAGGTTAGAAAGTTAATAGTAGCTAAGTATTCTTGGGAACTGGCGTATTTATATGAACTTTTATAAGGACTTTGTACAATTGTGTGTAAGTTGTTCACTGACTTCCTATATGGATCCCCAAATTCCCCAAAACCCACAAATTCAATATACCTATGATGTATTTTGGAGAGAGGTCAGACTTTCTGACTGAGTTATATAGCAATCTAAAAAATAGACTTATACTTTCCCAGTCAAGATAAAGAGATTATGAAGTGTCTTTAAGAACTCTTGCTAAATGATTCATGAAATTGCTGTTTAAAATGTTTCTACTAAAAGGTTTGTGTGTTCACTGCCAGCTGAGAGACATGAGTTCAGGAAATCACTCCAAGTCTCAGTCCTGTAGTTTTCAATTAAGGAACCACAAGGTCGGCAATATTCTGACCTGCAGAGAGACTGACTATGTGTTTCCCTTTTCTGACCATAAATGATCCCAAGGGAAGGAGAGTCAGCTGAGAGTCAGTGGCATTAATTCTTTGTGTATGCTAAAGATCCAGTTTGGCGATACTCTTGATGTTTGTGTGTCCTGTCATGTTAAGCTTGTATTTAAAAATGTATATTGTTTATAATAATCCTGTTAAGATCATGGAATTTTATTGTAATTTGCACCTCCATGATTTTTCCTGTGTCATTTCCTCCATCCGCAGGACCCTCTTCACCACACTTAGAGCAGAGCCTCCGCAGTGAATTGGGCAATCATCAAATGGGTTGACATAATTCCTTACTCTTGGTTTTAAAAACAGTTAAGAGGCTTTGTTACATAAATAACATCCATGATAAAATCTGTTAAACTAATACAGTTTCATGGCAGCCAGAATTTTTTATGTTAGCTAAAGTGTGTTATCAGAACTCCTTAAGTAATTAATTAGTCTTTGGATTACACATGAAGGGGAAAATAGAGCTCTTCATTGGTGAGAGATGGTTTGTTTATTATTAAGTCTTAATGTCAGACCTTTTCTTTTTTTTTAAAGCAATTTATCGCACCATAGGCGCGTGCCAAAGATCAGGCCATATCCAGATTACTCTTCTTCCTCCTATATTGAAGACACAATCCACCACACCGACAGCATTGTAAAGAACATTTCTTCTGAGCATTCATTGTCCACTACACCATTGACTTCAGGGGAGAAGAACAGAAACTCTATTAACTATGAACGACAGCAAGCACAGGCTCGCATCCCTAGCCCTGAGACTAGTGTCACCAGCTTGTCCACCAACACAACTACTACCAACACAACTGGCCTCACTCCTAGCACTGGCATGACTACCATATCTGAAATGCCTTACTCAGATGAAACAAACCTACATGCTACAAATGTCATGCAGCCTATTGGACCAACTCCTGTTTGTCTGCAGCTAACAGAGGAGGACTTAGAAACCAACAAGCTGGATCCAAAAGAGGTAGACAAGAACTTAAAGGAGAGCTCTGATGAGAATCTGATGGAGCATTCCCTTAAACAGTTCAGTGGACCAGATCCACTGAGCAGCACTGGCTCCAGCTTGCTTTACCCACTGATAAAACTTGCAGCAGAGGTGACAGGACAGCAGGACTTCACACAAGCTGGGAATGGTCAAGCATGTTTGATTCCAGATGTCCCATCTACTCAGGTCTACCCTCTACCCAAGCAGCAGAACCTTCCCAAGAGGCCTACTAGTCTACCTTTAAACACCAAAAACTCAACTAAGGAGCCACGACTGAAATTTGGTGGCAAGCACAAATCAAACTTGAAGCAAGTTGAAACTGGAGTTGCCAAGATGAACACTATCAATACTGCAGAACCTCATGTGGTAACAGTTACCATGAATGGAGTGGCTGGGAGAAGCCATAGCATAAACTCACATGGTGTAACAACTCAGTATGCCAATGGTTCAGTGCCATCTGGCCAGACAACCAGTTCAGTGGCACACAGGGCCCAGGAAATGCTGCAGAACCAGTTCAGTGGAGAAGACAGTCGACTGAATATTAATTCAAGCCCCGATGAGCATGAACCATTACTGAGACGGGAGCAGCAAGTTGGCCAAGATGAAGGTGTTCTGGATCGTCTAGTGGACAGGAGAGAGCGACCACTGGATAATGGCCGAACAAACACCAATAACAACAACAGTAATCCATGTCCAGTGCAAGACATTACTACACTTGGCATCCAGAGAATGACGACAAATCCTGGGCAGACCCAGAATAGAAGAGCACAGAGGCCTAATTCACTAGATCTGTCAGCCACCAATACTTTGGACAGCAGTAGCTTGCAATGTAAGTGCTGGCAGGACTAAAAAAAAATGCCCAAACATGTTCTTATCTGAAACTTAAGCATACCTGTCAGGATGAAAAATACCTATATCCATCTCCCTCTTTTCCCCTTCCCCAATTGCATGCATATTTAACTTCTATTGGCATAATTTCATTCCTCTCATTAAATTAATTTTGTGCTTCTTGGCCCAAAAATGTGTATTTATTCCCAACCCTGGAATAAGTTGGTTCTCTTTCTAATCAATTCTGCTTTTACTACTCAGATCCAATCAGTTCTATACCTTTTCCTCTTTGCAGAGCTCCTCTGCTGCTACTCCAAATAACTTTGCTATTATATGATATTCCTTAGCTACCTAAGCACATTCAAAGGCTTCCAATCACAGTTACCTTGCCTCTTTTCGGAAAGGTGGGATATTCAGGAAATGTCTTTAAAAAAAACCAACACCATAAGAAAGCCTTTGAAACGGAACAGAACAGGGAATCAGCAGAAGCTGTAACAAATGGAGAAGCTTACCTGTAACCTTGTGATTGCTTTTGCCTTTCAGGTAAAAGACAAAAAGCTCATTGTGGCTTCTTGTGTCCTTTGCTGTGGAAGCCCAAAGGGTTCATACTTATTCTGTAATTTTTAAAATTATTTATATCTAAATATATGTTGCTTTATACTACTCTTGATTAATTTCTCATACATACACATTATGTGGATGAAATACATAGTATACTGGGATTCCAAAAAAACATTTGGAGAAGTCTGTAATTTTTATGAGAGGTAGCCGTGTTAGTCTGATCTTTGTAAAACAAAAAAAGCAGTCATGTAGCACTTTAAAGACTAACAAGATAGTTTATTAGGTGATGAGTTTTTGTGGGGCAGAAGTGAGTCTGCCTCATGAAAGCTCATCACCTAATAAACTATCTTGTTAGTCTTTAAAGTGCTATATGACTGCTTTTTTTGTAATTTTTCTGTTTACGCTGAACCCCATAATGACACTTTCAGGTCTCGGCCCTGGTACCTAATGTTAATTAGGGATGTAAAATCACGTTTAAAAATTTAACTGATTAAACATTATGGTTAACCGGGATCCCGTAGTAGAGGGCCAGGCTAGACCATCCCCCTCCTGCCCATGGCATGGTGGGCCCAACTGGGTCCATTGTGCCATGGGCTACTCCAGCCAGGTCAGACCAAGCCTGCCATGCTGCAGGCCGGGCCTGCGTGGGCCAGGCATGCTCCAGCCTGGCTGGGCCACTGGTTAACAGGTTACCCCAGTAAGCTTGCTGATAAGGCCGATGCTTACCAGTTAACCAGTGAACCCTTTACATCCCTAATGCTAATCATATGTGAGAGCTGCATACCAGTATTGGTACCAAGACATCAGCTCACAGGATTAGAATAGTTTTAAGAACAGTAACTTATATAACTAATTGTTGTTTGCCACAGTAAAATTAGATGTTCTTATTCTGAGAACCTGCTAACATAGTATAGCCAGTCATTTAAAAATAATGGAATATGTAACTAGTTATTGTAATACTTTATTTTAACATCCCTGATATATCAGACAATGCTGCATTCCTAGCTTGAAAAGCCTATCCACTGCTTGCTCAGACTCAGTGGAAATACTGCCTGGGTGGAGAACTGCAGGCTGCTCTGGGGGGATGAGCAGGAAAGGAGCAGAATGGCCAAAGTACACTAGCTCTTTTTGAGGAAGGAAAGGGGCAGTGGCCTCAAAGCCACTGCTTTTTTAGAGGAGAAAGGAAGAGGAGCAGAGGGCCCAGATGCCAGAGGAGAAAATGGGAGGCTTTAGGTCTTCAGTATACCCAAGGGACAGCAGCAGCAGAGGAGCTCTGCAAAGAAGAAGAGATGTAGAACTGATTGGATTTGGGGAGTGAAAGCAACCACATTCTTTCCCAGCAGAAACTGGGGAAACACGTTTAAGTTAGCAATCTAAAACACACTGATTCTTTTTGTAAAAGAAGTATGCAGCTCAGCAACTGCACCCAGGAAATACAGTTAAATATTCGCTCCTGGAATGTTTTTCTCACTTCCATTTCTTCTAATTTAGTAAAATGAATTAAGTTAAGTTTGGTTTTTATTTTTTATTGCAGTACTTTTCTCTCACTTCATCCTTTTACAGGTTAAATAAAGAAGGTATAGGGGATTTTTGTTTTGTAGGATTTTTTTTTACAATCCAATCTTAATTGTTGATATTTAAACATAAAAAAGGTGTCAGACAGCTGTTTTGTAGGTTTCACCATCCCAGACTCCAGTCCTGATTCAGGAAAATCAGAGAATAGAACATTTGGCTTCAAAATGAAAGGCTAGGTTTCGTCTGGGGTCACATATGTAAGAACATATTTGTCAGGAAAATGGAATTTAAAAGGTAAATGATATAATGATACCATTTAAAAACTCAGCACTTACTGTCCCGTAATATTGCAGTGCAGCTATGTCTCCCATTCCAAGTACAGAAAAATAGCATGGTTACAAAAGTCACATTAATGTAAATGCTGACTAGATTCTAGTCTCTGACACCACTGTATACATAAAGTAACTGAAATGACTACACTGGAGTTACACATTCATACTAGTAACGGAGACCAGTATCAGGCCCTTTGTTTTAATGTTACCTACTGTACATAAATCATAGTCATCCCTTTTGTCACTGTAGCTAGTTTTGATTTGTTTTTCATCTTTCATGTACATGTAACTACCTTGAACTCCTTAAGCATGCTCTTCTTCTAACATTTTATTTTCTACCTTTATTTTCAGTAGGTGACTCATCACAAGATGGCAAACCAGGCTCCGGAGAAAAAATCAAGAAACGTGTGAAAACTCCATATTCACTGAAGCGGTGGCGCCCTTCAACATGGGTCATCTCCACTGAACCACTTGACTGCGAAGTCAATAACAATGGCAGTGACAGGGCAGTCCACGCTAAATCCAACACTGCTGTTTACCTTGCAGAAGGAGGAACAGCCACAACAATGGTGTCTAAGGATGCAGGAGTGAACTGCCTGTGAAATATTTTAAAAAGCCGACAATGACACTTTTGCATTATTTGAAACAAACGTGCAGAAGACATTTAAAAAAAAACTGTTTTCACCTCCTGTCAGCATCCCCTGTCAAGAACTCGCTTTAAATAGATTTCAGCTATGCAGAAATTTTTTAGCTTATGCTTCCATATTTTTTAATTTTGTTTCATTTTTTGAATGTTTTTGCACTTTTATTTAGTATCGCTAAAGTTAAGTCTGTCTGTTTTTGACCACAGAATTATATATATGTGTATCAAAAATGTGGTCTGAAAATATTTTTTTAAAAAAATTACAAAAAAAAGTATTGCTGATAATCAGTTTGGACCAGTTCCTAAAGGTCACTAAAACATAAGCAGACTCTAAGACAGGTTTGACTGCAGTGGTGTCTTGTATCCATGTTTTGATTTCTGTGCACAAATTACTTGGTATGTTTCTATGTTACAGAGTGTATTATCTTTTGAATGCCCTACTTTTCTTGTGTTATGTTGAAATGTGCAATAGTCTATAGTTCACAGTACGCTTTATTGGAAAGTGTGTTTATAAAACTGCCACACATTCTCCTCTTTGTGAGTATTTGTTAATTTTTTTCCTGACAATTTGGCAGTTGGTCATTCATGACAGTGAACTTTGCACACCATAGCCAGCTTGAAGCAGCTGCCTACCATAGATATATATATAGATATATATAGATATATATATATAGCTATATATATAGATATATATATCACTGAGCTCTACGATTATAAAGGAAAATGCATGAATTTTCCCCACCTTGAATGGACTTTTAAAAGAAACAAGCAAAGTATGATTTCAGTTGCCTTTCTTTTCAGCCTTCCATATCTTAACCAGTTTCCTTTATAGGAGTTATGAAATTGAAAGGAGAAGCTCTAAGCAAGATAGTGTTGAACAAAATATTAGGAAACAAAGTAAGTCCGCCATTTTTCCTGCAGTTTCACAGTTTGTATTTATGAAGATTTTGTTATTGATTGCTCTATTAATGTGTATTTATCAGAAAATCCTAATGAACTATCCTACTAAGATCTTGAGTATAAGTAAGATGTTCTAAGACTTTTTTATTTACAAGAGAAAAAACCTGATTTATAATTAACACAAAACAGTCATATGATGAGCAGCTAAGTGTCTATTAAATAAAATACCGCTGTAGTGGTAAATACTGAGGTCTGTAGCTATGTCCATCAGGTTACATATGCAAGTATGTTTATCCTAATTGGCTGCAGCTGAGTTAAGTGAAAACTAGTTTTCAGAGTTTTTTCTAGCCTTCTTCATTCATCTTGCTATTAGAATTTTAAACACACACTTTTAAAATATATGGCCATAGGGGAGAATTTTCAATTTTTTATACTGAAAACATTCAGAATATATGTAATATTACATATGTATTTTTGACCATTATCCCTTGTAAGTGACCACAACTTCTTCCAGGATATTAATACTTACTGCCTATATAAAAAGAAGTAATTACTTTTGCCCCACATGAGGTCTTTGTTTATCCTGATTAAATAAATTTAATTAGCTAAAAAACTGTATCTAGCATGATGGGGAATTGAGCAAAGTTTTGTAGCTGTATTTAAAAATTGCTTATGTCCCAACACCAAAAAAACTGTGGAAAAAAGTATTCAGTCAGCATTCCATGTTCCTATGGCAAGGTGCTGACAGTCAAGATTTGCCACCAAACTTGCCTTTTTCAACTGATTGAATCTGATTTTCTGTCCATTCATTTCCTTGATCTTGTTCTTGTACAATCTTTCCCATAACTTTTTCTAATATATATGGCCTTCCACATCTGACTCTATTTCCCAAGTTTCCTTGCTTGCATTCTTATCTCTCTGTGGCATCTTACCATGCTTCTTAAATGCTGTAGGGCAGATTCTCTTGTATAAACCCAGAGTTGCTTGTTTCATTGACTTCAGAGAAGTTATTCTGCAATTATACTGGTGTAATTGAGATCAGACTCTGGTGCAGAGTAGTTGCTGGAGTACAAATCGGGATAGAACATGATCTCCCAACTTTGCCTTTTAAGTACCACCCAAATAAAGGCCCCTGCTCTTCTCTTAGGGTATGTCTAGACTACATGGCTCCATCGACGGAGCCATGTAAATTAGGTTTCTAGACATAGAGAAATGAAGCAGCAATTTAAATAACTGCCGCTTCATTTACATCAAAATGGCTACCGCACTATGCTGATCAGCTGTTTGGCGGCACAGCGCGGTAGTCTGGACGCTCCGCGGTCGACAAGGGCTTCCCTTGTTGACCGCCCCATTATGCCTCGTGGAATGAGGTTTACCAGGGAAGTTGACAAGGGCTTCCCTTATCGACCACGGAGTGTCCAGACTACTGTGCTGTGCCGCCAAACAGCTGATCAGCACAGCGCGGCAGCCATTTTGATGTAAATGAATTTAAATAATCGCCGCTTCATTTCCCTTTTTCGAGTACACTAATCTACATAGCTCCATCAATGGAGCCATGTAGTTTAGACGTACCCTTAGGCACAACTTTGTTAACCTAACGTATACATGTGCAGTCTCTTTTCTTTATGTTGCTATTTCTCCATTTTATTTTCAGTTCTTTCTCCTGCTTGCCATCTGCTGCTATTGCAAATCCTAGATATTGAAAACTTGCCACTTTTCAGCTGACTTACATTACACACTGTTCTGAATTATTGGCACTATGGTCATAATATTGCCTAGGCTTTTTGTTTCTTTTATGGTTTACCTTAACTTGAAATTCTTCACACTTCTTTGCATTTATGTGCGACTTTCTAGAGTACAACATTTTGGTTTTTGCAACAATCGTATCGTGCATAATGAAGATGGCTCACAGTTATTTTTGCTTTGCCTTAAGTATAACCTTTATCATCATTTCAGAGTGTTGGTTTTAAAAATGTGTAAAACACTCTGACAGTTCTCAGGGCACCCAGTATTTTGAGTCACCTTGATTCCCTCTCCCTCTTCACCCCCCGCCTCCAACGAGATAGAGTCCTCCTTGGCAATAGCTCGCTGTTAGCTCCGTGACACCATGAGCCATTCTGCCACTTGAGTACTTTTCTCTGAGCTATGCCATCTCTAATTGCAACTTGCATGTTATTAATAGGTGCACCCCCAATTTCCGAGCCCTTTGGATTTATTCCCTGTTGATACCAGTCCCTGACACTAGCTACTCAGAAATTCTACACACATCCTTTTTACCAGTTTTACCTTAAATCACTGCACTTCTGAGCACTTATACTAAAACAAAAATAGGTTTATTTAAGAATAAAGATTTAACTAGAAGTGAGAAACAACTGGTGACAATGCAAACCTAGGTCTACGCTAACCAATGGTTTTCTATCCTCTATAATAAGATAGTCTTCCCCCCCACTCCCCAGGGTTTAGCCAGCAGCAAAGGTGGCTGGTGTCACAAGAATCAGGATCCTAAACGTTAATGCTCCTTAAGTGATTTTCCTCAGTGAATGGATCTAGAGAGCCTTTCACACTTTTGTCTTTATTCATAGCTCTGGTGATCTCCTGTCAGTGGTTTCAGTCATTGGCAATTGTCTTTGATGGTTTTTCCATTCATGGTTCTGAAATATGGCCAGGTTAGATGATAGAGCCTTGCATTGCTTCAGGAGCTGATGAGGAGGGAGGACAGCTCCATCTTGCTTAAATGATACCATTGAAACAGTGATGAATTTTTACTCCATGTCCATATAAATACATTATTTCTTAAATATCCTTACATACATCTCACAGGGAAGGAGCTATTCTGTAATACCTTTCATGTTACTTTGTATGGATAAATATCCTGTAAGATGTATTTGGTGCAGTGAATTTGTCAAGTCTGAGGTGAGGGATGTTTGCAAAGAACAGGGGCTCTTTGCTAAGGAGTCTCTGTACCACATGCTTTCCCTCTTATCTAATACTCTTATCTACACTACAGTTTATGCCGGTAAAATGTACGTTGTTCAGGAATGTAAACATGCCACCCCTGTGAGAAACGTAAGTTACATCCACGTAAGTACTTGTGCACACATCAGTATGTCAGTGGGAGAGCTTTTAATGCTGACACGGCTTTTGCCATTCTCAAAATGGTTTATTATGCCAGGTGGTTTATTATGCCTGTGGGACAGCTCTCTCCTGCTGACATAGAGCGTCTTCACCAGACACACTGCTGCAGTGCAGCTATAGGTATATAGCTATGCCACTGCAGCACTGTACACCTAGATGTGGCCTCACTTGAAACAAGCTAGGAAGAGAAAAATTATTTGCTCTAAATACTGCTGCTTTCTGACAAGGCTGATTAACCAGTCTATGTTTTAAGCCAATGCTTTATAAGAATTCCAACATTTTTATGCTTGATGCAGTCAAAAGGTTTAATAAAATTACTGCACCAGATGGAAAAAGTCTTTTTGACATTTTTCAGTTTTCCCTAAGTATCCTAAAAGCACGTGTTTAATTTGCTCACATTTCTCCTGTCTCTAACATTTTTTTGAAAACCTTTGGGGTAAATAATAATAGTTAGAAAGTAAGTAGTATAATTTATCATGAATACATATAATTTGTAACAAAGTAGAAATATATACACTTTATCCCAATATGAATTATAGTTCAAAAGGAGTAACTGCATTACTTGTAAGATCAACCCAGACAAATGGTAGGTGTGTTTTAAAATGTTTGAATTGTGCAGAGTTAGATGAGGTGAGGCTAAATATGACTTAATTCTGATGTATAATTTGCAATGCCCTTGTTTTGCTCACAGTAGGTAATCTTATCTTTTTGACAGTAACACAACCCTTGTAATTAAATTACATTGAATTTTAGTTCATAAAAGTACCCTGGGGAGTCAAATACAAGAGAGAGAATTCTACAAATCAAACCTGTTGGCTAACTAATATACAGTAATTCAGTTTTGGAAAGTCCAGTCCATTTCTTTGTTCTTAAAAAAAAAAACACATCAGTGGGTAAGGATAACAGTTGATAAATTAGAATTTTTCTAAATGCATAATATAGACAAGATAAGTATGTCAAAACGTGATAATGTAAATAGTAATGGATTGTGCCAAATAAGCTATGGTAGAATATTTTATATGTTCACTTCTAATACGGAATTCAAGTAAAATGTTACAACAAACATAAGTGGCCTATCTTTTATAGGCCATTCAGAAATCTTATTGCTTTTAGAGAATCACATGTTAAATGTAAAAGATGTGTCCAGGCAGATATGTTGTCTGTTCCTACATTTCCTATACAGTTATTTATCAACATTACACAATTAGTTTTAAGAATAGGAATTCTAGCCATATGTTTAGACGTGTCTTTTTGGTGATAAATTATTTTCTTTTTAACAAAATAGAGATTTATGAGTAGATTATGAGCAAATTCAGGTGAAATGTTCCCGATAATGCCCCTTCAAATACACACAAGCTAAATAATTAAAATATAAATCCCAATCTTGCAAGTCCTAGGTGTATTTGAATTGTAGATCTAAAAGTAAAGAGATATTTAATTTTAAAAAAAGATGCGATATGATTATATTATCATCCAAACCCAGAAACACTTCATTG